TTTTGATTTAATTTTCTCAGTGTTTATCACAAGAGAAACTGATCACCGAATTGAGGCAAAAGTTGGACTCATATGAGACACAGCAGCACGTGATGAATGGCTACATCAATGATAATAGCATTCTTCACGAGCCTTATGGCGAGTCCGGACACGAGATCAGTATATTGCGAGACAAACTGCAAGAGTCGCACAAAAGCTATCATCTCGTGAAGAGTGTCAACGAAAGTCTTAAGAGAAAAATACAGGTTTTGGACAAAACTCGCCGTAAGTCTGAACGCGAGGTACAGATCATCAGACAGTCGAGCGATGAGTTGAAGCAGAGGTTGAATGAGATGTCAGTGCAAGAGATGTCGACCCAAGACATGGTTAGGCAGTACCTGAGCCACGACTACTCGGTGGTGGACAGCGGCTGCGGCAGTGGGCAGTCGTATCGGTCGTTGTCGATGCCTAACGTACAGCCGTTTAACACGAGTTGTGTTACCATTAATGCCAACGAAATGACTGAAGACTTGAAGGACTTTTGCATTAGTGAGGCGTCGAAAGCGCTGGTAGTCTACGGACACGACTATAAGTCTATCGCCGACACTATTGTCGGCGCCTTTGATGAGCGGTACGGCACGTGTTGGTACTGTTTGGTCGGCACCGACTCCTTTGAACATAACTCGCTTCTCCACGTGTTTGGCACTTATATTTCGTTTACTATGAATGACGTAAAGATTATTGTCTTTAAGACAAATGATATGGTATTTAAAATTGCATTTGATTTTTCATTATACTCTCTCTCTCTCTCACTCACTCACTCATTCAGTGTTGAGAATTGATTTTTAGTTTAATTTACAAATTTTGTGTTCAGAATATATGACTGAATATAATGTAAAGAATTATTATAAGAATATTCTTTGACTCCTATATTAATACAAATTAATTTTTCTCTCAAATCTATAGCTGGAGTCCAATCGACTGCTTCTGTGGTCCAAAGAAGGCCCGAAAGTGGATATTGTGTACAAAAATCACTTCACAGACGATAACGACTTCGAGGAAGTGGTGGTCGAGTCGGTGACCAAAGCTATTGGCGAAGAGTTCGTGACATACCGTGAGCTGACCCGCCGTTTGACTACAATACTGAGCCAAATCTCTGGCAAAAGGTATGACCAGAATTGGCTGGTGATTGCCGGCGACAGCACCGGTAGCTTTGGACACGGATTAGCTGAGGGCGACGACGGGGAACGCCCTTTCGATACGAGCCTACAGTTTAGTCACAAAAACTATAACTGCATTGAAATGCAAATCAATTTTTTGCGTCTAATTGTCATTCAATTTAAGGTTAAAATCTAATGTAAAAATCGTGAATAAAAATTCAATTTTATTACAGCAATATAAATGCGGTAATACAATGTTTTTTTGTATACTACCAGGATAAAGTTTTTCGCATGAAGTTAATTTATTACGGATTATCAGAAAATTAATTTAATTTAAAAGTCACATGTGTTCAATTAATAATATATTGTATTAATGATTATAATCACTGATAACTATTATATTTATAATTTAATAACGTGTTAAACATAAATCGTGTGTATAATTAATTCATTACTGATTGCAAAGGTGAGTAGTCCGTGCCATATGGGCACCGGTATGGCAGAGATGTTGTCAATAATAACACGAATTACGAAATAAGATGTCAAACAAACATCGATTTAAACACTATTTGAATGTATATTTAGTTTTTATATCACTTTTATTTAGTCAACACTTATGCCNCGGTGGCCCTCAAAGCCTTGGTTACCCACAGAGAGCCGGTAGCCCTCAAAACCCCGGTAGTCCAGCGCCAGTGACAGAGCTCGACACCACAACCCCCTTCCCCGTGGACGAGGAGGACGTCACCCAACATATACCCCGAACACTGCCCACCACACGGGCGCCGGTGGTTGAGTTCATAGACCCGGAGCCGGTGGTGCGCACAACGATAGGGCCGCGACGTCTCAATATAATACAGCGTTTATTAGGGGCGGTGTTGGCCCCCTCCCGCGTACAGGTGGGGCCCATACGGCTGGGCATAAACGGCGAGTCCTTGTTTCGGATGCCGGGTGTGAAACAGTTGGCCGGACCCGAGAGCCCGTTAGGCCAACTCAACCCATACTTGGATGAGATCTACGGCCTCACCACCCAAGAGCCCATATATATCGCTAATCGATAGGCGCTCCCATGCAGTGAATTGTTATGTCATTTATTTTGTAGTGTTTTTGTGAATTGATTTTTTTTGGCAGAATATTCTGTGATTCTGTCGCTGTTTTCGATGCGATGCCTAATAAAGTGTTTTTGCATTTATTGTGACCATTATATGTGTTATTTGTGTTTCAATGATAGCTGTAATGAGTGAGAGTTTAGTAAACTGATCAGGATATTTGTGGTGGATAGTGAGTGAGGTGGTTAGCCAGTCAACTGACCAGTAGTTGTGTGTGTGTGTGTGTGTGTGTGTGTGTGTGTGAGACCATAAATTAAATACAAATTTAAGATAACCCTATTATATTAATGTTGTACATCCAGGTGCTCAATCAGTAGTACGTATGACTTACTTTTGCTAATAATTAAGTGACCTAGATAATACCTAGATCAACGCAATAAGTGCACTCACCATACCAGGGCAATGGGATTACCTATTTATGTGAACTATATTTAGACGCGACTTAAACGCCAAGCTCGTTTAACCACAACATTTGGAAACATATTTTGTTTTTCATTCCCGAAACCCAAACACAAGTTGTTATGCTTTTTGTCATGTAATTGTCGAAACATTTCTCTCTATTCTCATTGAATACTTGCAATAAATTTACATTTTAATGAAATTAATTTATTTGCCTTTCATTTGAATCAATAATTTGTAGGTATTTCTCAAGTCTTATACAACTTATTATTATAGCATACCTGCGCTCTCACGGATGAACGGCTTATAATTTAATTAATTTTCTATATTATTATTACTTTAAAGTCCTGTAATTAATTAAAATATATTTATCTCAAGATCATTATTAGTATTTCTAATTATCAGTATATAATTTAATTAATTAATAGTTACGGGGGTCTGAGACAAAAACAATTAAATTATTTGTAGTTGACAAAAATATTATGCAATGTATGTTAAATAGCATTTGCTATATGTCCTGGATATTTATGTGGCTTTATATTCTAATCGTATTACAATTCAATGATTTTGTCAGTAATAAAGCAAAAACTTTTGTTTCAAACTTTTTTCGCCCGTAATTAATGTGACGTTATTTATGAACAGTTGACGCGAGAGTGCGCTCGAGTCGAGCGACTCGACCCGCGAAATGGTGTTTGCATTCAACGCGTACACAAACAACGTTACAGTATATCGTGTATGTGGAGGAAGTTTTTGCACGCAAAATGTGTTTTATTCATCAAAAACAATGCATTATTTAAATCAACAACATAAAGTACCTTGCGCGTAGCGTATTATCAATATAAAAAGTAATTCTACTTGCTCATTTTGATACACATTCTTAGCGCTAACATAAGTATAGGCCTACTAAACATTATGACACGCTATAGGCAACTATGCTATACATAAGGGGGCGTGAAATTCGACACAACGCGTCACGGAGTCTGCGTACGGGCTCTCATCGCACACTCACTGACAACACATTCGAATAGCGAAACACAACAAAAACACTGCATTTCTGTCGTGCGTTTCGCGGACACACCGAACGACTCGCTATTTGATCGGTCATTACGTGTGCGTCACTGCCGTCGCCGTAACCACCGGTCGATCGCCAACACCACTGACCGCACGACTACTCCAGTGCTGACACCGCACGGAGTGTTACCGTAGACTCAGTGGTCAGTCGCCAGCACTCAGTCGCACACAAAACGTGCGTTTATTTTGGTTGAAGTTTGTGTTTTCTTTGGACACTCCGTTTGACGGCATACCCGTCCCCTTCCATATAGACTACCAGTGCTCCAGTGGACAGTAATGCCCCCGAAAACGCCGCGCACGTACAGCGTGGGCGACCTGGTGTTCGCCAAAGTCAAGGGCTACCCTCCCTGGCCCGCACGGGTATGTTAATCGCGTTGTTTGTATGTTTGTGTGTCTAAAAAAGCTGGTGCCCTCCCTCCCCCTGTGTCAGCACCGATAGTCTCTCTGTGTGTTTGTGTGTCAATGGTATATGGAGTGGCGTAACCCCTGCCGCAGACTACCGGTGCTGTCATGTGAGCCGTTCAGTACACTATACGCCGGGTTATTGTCAACACAAACACCACTGTATTAGTAGTGTAGCCGTGAATGGCATTCAATTGTAGTATACTTTTCGGGGCGCCAACCACGTAGTGGACAGTTGTGTCCGAGTATAGGTGCACTGTTTGACATATAAAGTACAGCCGTATGTGTGGGAACGGTAGGTGATGAGCACCACCGGCACTGTGTATGTGTGTGTTTGACATATAAGTGTTGACACGATTTTAATGATATATAGATTTTGTATTTAATACCAATTATTAACGGTTTATACGTTTGTCTGTCGCGCCGATAGGTGGAGAGCGAACCACCCCCCGGATACCGGGCCGGCCCCGGAAGGTATCCCGTGTTCTTCTTCGGCACATACGAGTCGTGAGTATAGTATTTGTTCCGCACTTCTGAAGGCTTTTGTGTCCACAAAAAATTGTCTCATTTTTTGGGTACGATTTCATTAATTGTGTGTTTTGTTAGTGTTTTTTGGTTAACGAAAAATACTTATGATTTCGAAACACACCCTTAAATCGCGCCCTAATAGTGAACGCACGATAGCGAGAGCACCCCCTCCCCCGCCTCCCATTGCCTCCCAATGAGGGGTTAAGCAGGGGGTGTGACAGCTGAGAGTGTGCACCGGAATTACAAACCGACAAATCGTTTGTAAAGTCTTTTACATTCAAACGTTTTGAGCGATTAATTCACACATGAATTGGAAAATTGTTTTTTCAATTGCTTTTTGATTTGTTTTTTTTGGAAATACTAATGATTTGTTTGTGTTTTTTCGTTGCCATTGACACGACCTCTCGTGGGCTACCAGTGCTGTGGTCGCGGCCCGAGACCTGTCGCCCTACGAGCAGACGAAGCATAAGTTGGGAACTCCGCGTAAACTCAAGGACTTCAACAAAGGGTTGGAGGAGATCGAGAAGGACCCGGAGCTCACTGTAGGCGCCGCCGAACCGGCGGACAATCAGCCGGACGAGGAGGAGGCGGCCGATGAGGAACTGGAAGCCGAGGACGAGCCCATGGATGAGAGCGCGGATCAGTCGACGGCTGATAAGCCCGCCGCTCATGACGGCGACAATGAGGACCAGTTAGCCAATGGACAGGCGGTTAAGAAGGAGTCGGAGGGGACAGTGACTGGCGATGCGGTGGTGAGCGCCGGCACGTCGGCCGCTGACGAGCCCATGGGATCCGACAGCGACTCGGATGAGGACAAGAAACTCATTATCGATGACCGCATTCACAGCCCGAAGAAGGCGTCGAAAGTGAGCGCCGGTAGTAAAAAGTCAACCAAAAAGGAGTCGTCGTCGTCGACCGCCAGCGCCTCTAAGTCGTCGTCCAAGAAGTCGAAGTCCAAAGAGTCGGACAGCAAGTCGAGCGCCGGTAGGAAACGCAAGTCGAGCGCCAGCGAGAAGTCGGGCGCCGGTAGGAAACGCCGGCGCGTTATACTCGAGTCCAGTAGCGACGAGTCGGACGGCAACAAAGCGGACGAGGAGTCCGGTGCCGACAGTCAGAGGGCGAGCGCTGACGAGAAGCGCGTGACGGCCGCCACCAGTGAGGACAAGGAGTCGGACGAGGAGTCGGAGCCCAAGAAGAACCGTAAGAGTCGCCAGAAGAAGGAGAAGCCCGCGAAGAGTAGCGGAAAGGCGTCTAAATTGGAGGAGTCATCGAAAAAGCGCCGCAAAGAGTCGAAGGCGAAGGATAAGGAGGCGGTGGAGTCGGCGCCCACCAGTGGAGGGGAGGCGCCGGTAGCCGACGACCCCGAAGTGGTCGAGAAGGTGCGTCTGAAGCTCCAGGAGTCGAAAGACGAGATCCAACAGAAACTACAGGAGAAGGAGAGAGAGAAAGAGCGACGAAAGCAGGAGAAGAAGGAGCAGAAGCGTAAGGAAAAAGCCGAGAAGTCGGGCGTCGCCACGGCTACCGGTGCTGTCGCTCCCGCACCGGCTGTCACACCCAAAGCGCCGCCAACTGTGGCCGAAGTGTTGGCGTCGATCGACTCCGACATACAGACGTCGCTGTCGCGGGAGTCGGCGAATGTGGACAAGTGTTTGGAGGCTATGGAGCGCCTGAAGGGAGTGTCGGTCACACCGGAAGGCCTCCAGACGTACGGCCAGGCGCTGAAGGCGCTGATAGTGACGCTCAAGAAGTGCCGCAAATATAAGACGGATGAGAGGGTGCGCCAGAAGTCGGACCACTTGTACCACAAGTTTAAGGATTTCTTCTACACAACAGACGTAAGAGTTTTTGTGAACTGTTTTTGAGTTTTTTTATTGATTTTTTTTGATGGCTTTCCCTACGGATGCAGACGGCAGAGTTGACGGACTCGTCATCGGCTCTGAACAATACCGGCGCCGACACCAACAGCACCGACACCAGTGGCGACTCCAAAGATGATAAGACCGATACGATAGCCACCACTGAAGCTGTGGTTAAATCGGATGACAATCAGACAAATGTTGACGCGATTGATGCAAAGGAACCGTCGCTTTCAGTCACTTCTGATACCACAACCCCTGAGACTACCGGCCCTTCTGTGGGTGATAGTGGGATAGAGAGCGGGACGACAGCCGCAACGGTAGCTGAGTTGCCCGCAAGCAATGGGCACCCGGAGTCCGAGTTGACGGCGCCCATTGATGACCAACAAGAGGTGTCCGATAGCGCACCGGTAGATAAAGTCGACAGCAATAAAGCACAGGTGACTGTGAGCGGGGATCAGCCGCTGAGCGCCGGTATCGCTAGCGATGACACTAAGAATGGTATCGACGCGTCCCTAACGAGCGATGCTATCGACGATCAGACGACAGCGCCGGTAGCCGTCGTCGAGCCGCCACTCCAGTCGACCAAAGATAGTAGTAATACGACGACGACTACCGAACCTCCCGTTCCCACAGAAACGATCGCATCAAACGCCACATAAGCAGTCGATATATTCAATTGAAAAGCATTTTTTGGATTAATTCCGCGAATTAATGATAAAAACAAAAATCTATTGAATGAATAACTATTATATAATAATATTTAATCTCATTTCCACAGAATTTATAACTAAATTATTTAATAATTTATAGCAAAAAGTGTTTTTGAATTTATTTTTTAAAATGATTTTTTTGTGGTAAACGAAACGTCTATTTCCTATATATATACTGTACCTATATTTATAGTTGAGTTTAAAAAGTACCCGTATTATTGATATGATTATTATGAATATACTATTCCGCAGAATATTCTGGATTTAACTTTCAAAAAGTGTTTATGAATTAACTTTTTTTGTGTATTTTTCTCGCCTTTATTTGTATTTTTACGTCGATTTTAAGCGATTTATCGCTTTTTTATTATATTTTTTGCATGACTTTCACTGAATTTGTGAATTATTTTCTTTCGTTTCAATTAAATGTCGGAATTGTATCTGAATTATCGCTTTACGTGTGAATTGTATTTTGTGTTTGTTTTTGATAATTAATTTATACCATTCATTATCGCTATACATAATACGGGGTCTTATCTAACGACTCATCCAATGGTTTATCTCCGAAACTCGACTTAAAATTAATTGTAATTTAATAACGAAATGACTTAAGACTTTGTGTTGTTTTGAATTATAAGATCAAAAATGACTTATTGTTAGCAAATGTGACAAAAAAAAGTTTTATTTGATAAATAAATTGATATTTTTGAACAACTTTTTTGCTGATTTTCTTATGTAATTCCGGGAACACCTAATAGTCTGGACATGTATTTGAAACTTAATTATTAGGAATAAACAAGACTATTAAGTATGATATAAATTTGTACACATTTTAAACAAATTTATTACATACTGTACCTAATTGTTTGGAAATGTATTTGAATTTATATGCAATACTCTAAACTATTAGCTAGACAATTAATTAATAGACTTGATTAATTAGTAAAACTTCTTAATTAGTAAAATAAAATAGTCATTTTAATAGAGATAAATAAAATACAATTATTCATAAATATTACAATAGTTTTGATGACAATTAACAAAAT